TCAGTGTTGACAACCAACTACTTTTGGGGCTCTATTTTGGATTTTATCTTTGGTTTATTTCCATAGATTTTTCTATGTTTCAATATGGCTGCAAGGCAGTGGCAGTTTAAAATCAGGGTTTTTTATGAGACACCAGTTGGTTCTTTCCCTAGTTTGGAGTTGGGTATATTTATCTGTGTTTATCTGTGTGTGCTAACAATCAAATGTGTATATATATATATATATATATATATATATATATATATATATATAGTAATAACTGACATTTAAGAATGACCTGAATCTTTTTATTTGATGCAATTAAGAAGTACGGTAAGAAACAGACAAAAAGTGAGTATCAAAAAAATTGTTCAAAAACAATTATTCAAATTGTAAATTGTTTAAATGAAAATTAAAAGGAAAATTATGCTAAATGATACTTATTAAAAATACCAATTTTTGAAATATGTATGTGGCCTTGCTTTGTGAGAATCAATGGTGATTTACCTAGAACTAATGACACCTATACCACCTTGAAGGATGGCATAGAACATCTTGCAGAAATGTCATCCCATCATCATATGGATTGCAAGAAACCCATATTGCAAAATTAAGAACAGGTTGCCAAAATATCAAAAGTGCCAAGAAATACCGCAGCGTAAAAAGAAAACTTAAAAAGTTAATTTCATCATTTAATGAGTACTCTTCAGTAGTTGACTATTTTCATGCAGGATCATATAACTTAACGTTATAAGGTGTTATATAAGAATAAAGTGTCACTGCCAACACTTGAGTTTGAACATAAATCACCAGTGAGCAAACACAGGCAATCACATTATTGAATTAAGTAGACCATGTGACCCTAGAGGAAATGCATATATGTAGGAATTAGGTTGGCATCTAATAGATCTCTATTTCTACTCTATCCTCTATTATCATACAGACTGGTATTCTCTGTTCTATTCACTATACTATTTCAAGTCCAGTAACTGTTATCATTCTTTCTAGTAGTGATGGATGCTTCCTTCCAGACCATTTTTTTAATTGTTATATAAGAATAAAGTGTCACTGCCGACACTTGAGTTTGAACATAAATCACCACTGAGTAAACACAGGCGATCACATTATTGAATTAAGTAGACCACATGACCATAAAGGAAATGCATATATGTAGGAAGTAGCTAACGATCACTATTTCTCTTCTATCACTATATAGACCGCTATTATCTATTCTCTTCTCTACACTATTCAGATCACTATACAGATTACTATTCGAGTGAGTATTATCGAGCAAGTACTATTAGTGTGAGTGATATTCAAAGGCGTCTGACACCGGCATTGTTCAATTATTGTTCAATGGCGTTACTATAGTTGTATCTGTGATTACAAAGTCTCTACTACAACGAACATTACGAAAGTGACAATGAGTATTCGTTGACATTACAAAAGTGGTGACAAGTGTTCATTGACATCACAAAATAAGGATTTTTTCTTACTAAATTGTTTTATTAACAACATTTGTATTTCAAATAATTATAATTTGTGCATTTCCTCTTTTAATTTTTACACTTTTAATGCAATAAAGGATTTTGCATTTTGAATAATTATCATTTAGTATAATTGTCCTTTCAATTAATTTTCATTCAAACAATATAGAATTCAAATAAATGTTTTTTAATAATTGTTTTTGAACAATATTCACATAATCAAAAAGTCAGTTCAACTTGGTGGAAAATCAGTTGTGAATTCAATTCCAGAGTTAGACTCAGTGAAAACAGGATTAGCATGTCATGTCCTTAAAGAAATACAGAAATAAAAAATTAATTATACTGTCACTGTATTTTGGCCATAAAAAATAAATAAATAAAAGTTAATTATAATGTCAAAAAGAACAATTAACAAAATAATTATAACAATTATAATTATCATTAATTCACTCTTCTAAACCAATGAGAACTGACCCCATTTTTCTCACACCAAAACATGACATTCTCACCATCAAGCAAGCAGCCAACACAGACAGGCCATGAACATGTGTGTCAACAAAACTTTTGGCTCCTTTTCCTTTTTCAGGCCATTATAGTAACATTTATCTTTTAGCACTCAATAAAAATTTGAGGTCAGAAAACTGCAGACACTTTTTGCATTTTCTGACTAAATTATCTGGACATGTGAGAAAGACTGTATATGCGTTACTTATTTTTTATCTTATTCTGTCAGATTTCGATCCATATTTGATCTGCATTTGACATCAAACTCACAATTTTACTCAATATTATTGTCTCTCATTTCTAAAACCACATAACAACCAGATAATAAATAATAATCATTTTGTTGTTTCCATGTCTTTTGCTGTTTCTCATTTTTATGACTATTTTTCTATATATTAATGTTAGGGGGTTTATAATTATTTACTCAGAGTTATATGGGGCAGTATTAAAAGATCTAGCTGATATATCCCTATACATGAATAGCATAACAAGAACAATCTAACAATATTTTTTGCCTTTAACTTACAAAAGGTTGATAAGCCATAAAAAACAATCAAATCAGATTTATTTTTAGATGATTCTCAGAGAACTTGCAAATTACCAGGATTTATTACTGGTCGACATAACCTTGACAACATACATTAGTCTAATGACAACATTGATGATTCCATAAGGAAACAAAAAGAACTACGAGATAAAGTAGCTGAGGAAAACTGAATTACTGTATATTTCCATGTATAAGACGATCTTTTAATCCCCAAAAAAGGTCACCCTTAAAAATTGGGGGTCATTTTATACTACAATTCTAAAAAAAGAAAACTTAAAATTCTGAGTGATGTTTATTGGTAGGCTAACCTCGGCCTCAGTGCAATAACCAATAACATACATAAAAAGATTCACATTATCAGATAAATTGATAAAAAACATAATAAAACTGTTTCTACCTTATATATAACTGGCGTAACTTCATAATAAATTGCCTATTTGAAAAATAATTCCATGTCAATTAAATCAACTTGTATCTATGCAAGCTCAGCTGAAAAAATGTAAACATTCACAGCAATGGAATGTACTATTATTGTACTGTTATCAGCAGTATTTTATGATTGTTGATGAAGTAAATTAGTATACCAATTACTGTTTTTATATATAGGAAAAGAAGAGGAAGAAGAAAAAGAATCACTATTCACAAGAGGTTACGTAATAAAACGTAAAAAAAACAATAGTTTCCCTTTTAGGAATGAGTGTAGGGAAAACATGTTATAAAATCGGTTTTGTTATTTCATTTATTTTGAATTTCTGTGAAATAATGGATAGTGGCTCGGATTGAGGAATTGGAGAGTTGAATCTGAATTTCAGTCAAGTTCATTGCATTCACTTATGTTCTAATATGCTTCTAAAAGGTATGACCCCATCTGTTCTCCCCCTGGGCAAATAACTGGATCCTATAGCCTTGGGTTGCAATCAGTCTAGAAGAGGAAGAACTTTTAATTGAAAACCTGAGAAAAATCATAGAGTAATCTGTACTCTATAGCCTTGATTTGCAACCTGTCTAGGAGGAGGAAAACTCTGCATTCAATCCATCCTGGAGAGGGTTGGGCTCTGTTAAGCTAGCTTTCCAAGGAAACACCAATGGCTGAAATATATGTGGCTGAAATATATGTGGTTCCTCTATGATCCGGATGGGATATGCAATTTATATGTGTATGTATGTATGTTGAAAGTTAACTGGGTAGAATTTTAAGAGACAGCAGAAAGTGGGAAAACAGAAATCTCTAAATGCCTAGGAAACAATCTTTCAGAACTTAAATGTATTAAGGAATCAAAAATATCTTTGGAAGCAAAGAGAAAAGTGCTGAACTTCTATGTAATATTAAAACTTCTATATGACAATTAATATTGGACAGTCTCTTTAAAGATTTTGTTTTGTTTTGCAATAAGGTTCATCCTCTACAAGCCACTCAAGGTAGAGGATTACCTTAAGGGATAGTTTATATGGATAGGAGGGGAAGATAACAGTTGACTCTAGACTTGAACAAGTTAAGATTGTAATGATCAGGGAAACATTCTCTTGGGAGTTTGTTTGATACTTTCTGTCTGAATTCTTAAAATTGTCAGCATGTTACTTTCTTTTTTAAAATCATTTCACCCCATGCAAGGCAGGAATGCCACTAGTACGCAAAGGCTTACAGAGAGTTAAATTCAGAGAAAAGACTGGGTATAGGGATGGGGTGGATTGAAGAAAGGATAAAAGATGAATGGGATTCAAAAAGTTAAAAGATGGCAAGTGACGTTGCATTTAAATTTTTAAAGATATTAGATATCAGGAAAGCAAGTAAACAGAAAGGATTTCCACAGGTGGGAAGTGCAAGAAAAAAAAACTGCTGGAGTAAAAGTAGTGGTTGCATTTAACTAATTCAACAGTAAGCAGGTGGGACCTAAATGCCAATCTAGTAGCACACTTAAATTAATGTAGTTGGGCACAAGGAAAAAAGTTCATCAGAGCGCAGTTGCCATTAAAATATTTGTAGAAAAGACAGAGGGAAACTACATTGTGCATGTGAGAAAGTGACTGAAGTCAAGATGTTTTTTTTAAGCATTTCATGCCAAGCAAGGCAGGAAGCCATTAGCACGCAAGGGGTTACAGAGAGTTGGATCAAGAGTAAATAGGAGTGATAGTGGAAAGGATGAAGAGAAGGATAGGGGATAGATCAAGGCATCTGGAGATGTCAATTGACATCAAGTTAGGATCAATTACATTCAGATCCTTCTTTGGATTTTGCCCAGAACCTGAATTCTTGTTATTGTCAGCATGTGCCATTCTCAAAGCTAGCTCTCTTGCCATCTGTTTGAACTCACTTTTTTGCACAGTTTCTAATCAATCACTGTCCCCATTCAACTGTACATGTTTGTGCATTTCTTTAGAGCTAGTTGACTGCTTTCACTAATGACTGGATTTACCATCTCATTTCTTTCCATACATAAATGACATTGGCTATTCTGTTGGTTTTATCGATTTTCACTTTTCTAATGCTCTTATTTTCAGCTACCCTCACCGTTTCTTTTTCTCTTGTCTTCAATGAAACCCCAGTTATTTTGCTTGGCTTTTTTCCTTTCAGCATTTGTCTCTTGACTTCTCCATGGACTTTTTCCCCACTTTGGCTTCTTGAATTTTTCTTCGAGCTCTCGTTAGATGTCCTTTCATTGGGTGTTTTGAAGTTTTTATCATTGCCACGATGCATTCTCCATTTGCTTATATGCCCTTTCTTGCTTCATTCACAGACAAGTCAACAGTTTTCACTGCTGATTAATCCACTTCTTCCTTCTTCTAACATAGAGTTTGTCAACATCATCTCTTTGTTGCTCAGTTTTTTGGACTGCCACTTATTCTTTGATCCACCAGTTTGATATTTTTATTTCCTCTTTTCGTCTAGTAGAACCCAGAATATCTTTTTAGATATCTATGATGGTAGATTGTTCTTGTTCTACTGTCCAAGTTTATAGATATCTTGTCTAGTTCATATTTTAGTCATCTAGGGTATGATGATAAACTACATCCAGCAGCAAGGCCTCTGATCTGAAGGTTTTGAAGTGTATAGAACCACCTCTTAATTGGTGTTGTTTCCATATTCACCCTGACTCAGGGTGGTAGCACCTGTTAGGAACCAAGCTATGGGCAAATAGTGAACCTGCAAACTGGGGTCAAAACATGAAAATATAAAAATAAATTACAAAAAATTACCAGCAATACATTTTCTTAGTTAATAAAAAAATCACTAGCAATACATTTTTGGAAAAAAACATGAAAGCTCACATGAAAATTACATTTCAGCAATAAATGATCCATATTTAGTTGATATGTAAAACAAACCAAACCAAACCAAACATCTTATTTTAGTACTACTCAATTATTGCTCACCTATTTTCAATGAGCCCAACTGCACACTGTCCATCCCAGGGATTGAACTCACAATTATTATTTCACCAAATTCATGAAACAATGCTTTAATCTCAGGGGACCATCCTATGAGGAGAATTTAGACCTAACCTACCTGCTGATGAGTGTTGCTACACATGTCATGATTGACTACTGAGAACTGGATCTTCTCTTTTGTTAAACCTGATGCTGTTGTTGAAGACTTGTTGTTATTTGTTCTTCTTTATTTATTCGTGTCTTCTACATTATATTTATTTCTATGCTGGGCCTACTGAGCAGGTCCTCATAGTCTAGGATATATGCTGGCTCTTTCAGATGTTTGACTCTTTAGTGTTCTTCCTTGTCCAGTATTTTCATTCTATTCCACAGTTGGTGATGACTACCCTTTTCCCTACATACATGATCAACATTGCCTATTTTTTTAATCCTTTCATCCCAAGCAAGGCAATAAAGCCAGTAAGGTGCAAGGGGTTACTCTGCATGAAAGAATATAAGAAAAAGGGTAACATTATTAAGGAGCAACAAGAAAAGCACTAGTGTAGCTCCATAGCATTTCAGAAAAGATATTCCGAAGGCATTATCAGCAATGACAGAATCACAGTGTGAGAATTCTTAATGGAAATATTTTGAACGTGATTAAATATAATTTGTGTAATGTACAAAATTGATTTTTATGCCCAAAGGGTGAATATTTTTTGAATGCACTATTAATCCAATATTATTCTTCCATATGAATAAAACATTATTTGAAAGCCACATGACAATTTTGTACTTTTAAATTTGTTTAGTATTTTAATTATATGGAAATTATATAAAAATTTAATTATATGAAAATAGTTTTTCTGCCTGCATTGGGAAGCATTTTCCTAATATTTCAATAAATTTTTTTCCATCACAAATAATTGTAGTTTGAAATAAAATCTTTTAAATAATACAATAAAATTTAAAAGTTGTCAATAATAGTTGAGCAAATTTAACCAGTCAAGTGAATTCGACAATGAATCTCCAACTGCAGGATATCTATCAACCCCCCACGCAGTCAGATGTGGCACAAGGCTGAATTTAATGTGGAATATCCGTGCCCATAAGCTTGGCCAAAAATCGGGTAGCTGTTTCCCCAAGATGAGACTCTGCCCTTTGACATAGCCTCGTCTGGGGATCCTCTCTGCCCGGAGGCAGAAAGTTTGACCAGCACAGTGAGAGACTAATCTCCAACTACAGACCAACATACAGTATTTACTACTGTATTTACTTTCTGTACAATTTCACTATACCACCCCAGTAAGTACTTGACTCCTCTTGCTATCTTCTACCTTTGGAAGTGCCAGATCAGGCCGAAAATGAATAACTGCAGCCATATATGAACTCCATTAAGGAGTTTAAAAGTATCACCATGTCCTTGTTGGTGAGAGATTATTTTTCACCTTACAATTCATTTCTTACAGATGAAACATTGCAAGCCAATCACTGCTCTATTGTTCTTTCTATGGAAAGTGTTCAGACGAAATACATTACGTTCAACCAGTTCTTATCTTCATGGTTAAGACCCAACATGCCATGAACATTGTAGCGAACCACCCTGATTTCCTTTATATTCTACTGGTGAGATGTAAGCAGCTCCTTACCACAAATCACTGTTCTGTGGAACCAACTCCCAAAAAGATGCTTCCATGATCACTACAATCTTAACCTATTCAAATCTAGGATTAACCCTAACCCTTCCCCACATATCTGTATAAAATATGCCTCTACCTCAAGCGGCTCCTTAGCCCTGTATGGGTGAAGATCATTGTAAGAAAAAAGAGAGAAGTACTATTTTTTGATCATTTTTGCTTTGCCCATCTCCAATAACTAAAATAAATACATTTGACTCTTAATATGATTTAATGATTATACATTCTATACTAATTATATATAAATATGATAATATATTATATTATGTATTTTATATTTATATATTATATATATATATTTAATTATTATAAATATTATCTTTAGTGGGTACATGTGTTTGAGTTAATGTCAATGTTTTTTCTATTTTCTTAAACAATGAAATAAGTAACAAATGGCCCAGATTGATAAGCTCTATAAAAAAAATTGAGCCTTAGATAGGAATTGAACTTCTATTCTTTTTTCTTTTCCATCAGGGAACCAATTTCAAAGCCAAAGTGTGCCACTACCAATTTGGCCATAGAGACCAAAACCTGGCAAAGGGAGGGGGGGTGAATTACCTATTTAAGGACAGCACATCTCTCTCTGGGATTTCTACAAATCTATATCTTCCAGTTTCAGTTTCATGCCTGAAACATAAACAACAGTAATTCTTAAAGGAATTTTTTATCTGACATCATTTCTTCTTAGTATAATCATTATTTTAGAGGGTACTATCCTTATTTTTTTTTTATTTTCTTAACAGTGAAATAAATATTACAACCAGCCTAGATTAAAAGTCTTGCTTTCGATAAGTACTGAACCAGCATCTCTTTTTTCCATCGGGGAAAAAATTTTAGCCATCAGTTTATCTGCTATGTAGGGATTCTTAGAATAGACTGTTTGTTATTAATTTCAGTGTTTAAGAAAAAAAAATAGAATATATTTGATTATAGATTATGAAGTTGATGAGACAAAGTGGAAAATTATTAACAATGTGTTTCAACAGAACAACTGCTCTCTTTGCCTTCCTCAGGTTAGAATGAAAGAAAGACAAATCTGTGTGTGAGAGAAAATGCAAAGATATCTCTGAAGACCTCATAAATCAAATTGAGTTCGATATCCTATCCCCTCCAATATCCAGAACGCAAGAGGGTATCTGACTGTTTGCTGTTTGTTGTTTGTTTTATCTATATCAGAGGCCTTTGGTATCCGTTGGGTTTTAAACCAGTTCACCAAAACTAGAGAGTATTCTTCATTATATATATATATATATATATATATATATATATAAGTTAATTATATATATTTTTATTTATCAAGAACAATATTGAGGAAAATGTATGACAAAGCGAAACAGTTTTCTTGAGATGTGTTTCATCCTTTAGGATTTCATTGGATTAAATTTGTTATGTTGGTGATTAAACATGTTCATGAACACAGGATGCTGGGAATTCTAAATTTAAAATTTCTTTTTTCTCAAGCTGATTTTATTTAAATTCTTTTTTTTCTTTTTGTTCCCATCACTTTTGTTATTAGATATCCCCACACTGTGATAATAAAAGTTCTGCCAGGAATGATGTAATGTTGCAAGAGCCAGGGCACAAATTTTCCATGGACGACTTTGCAATTAAGGCACTCTCTAAACATTTATGTCATAGTGAATTATTTCCCCTTTGATCAGAGTAGCATTTTTTATGTCAGAATTGTGGTTAGTCTTGTTCCAGTGGGCAACCAATACAGTTAATGTATTGTTTTGTAAAATGTCCCTTTTGTGTTCATATGACCTTCCATTTAAATTCCTTGTGGTTTCACCTATTTTTTTTTTTTTTAATTATTACAGTTGGTCAAGTAAATTTCTCCTTCAAGTTTTAGCTTATTGTTTTGTTTAATAATGACTGAGCTTTTATTTATTGTTTTAGATGTAGTAGTAACAAATTTTATGTTGAGTTTAAACAGATTCTTTCCAGTTGTAGATGTGATAGAGTTACTTGGTAGGACAATATATTTTTTGGATTCGTTGGGTTTGTCAGGAAGGGCCATTTTTCTGTTTTGAAATTAGCCATCTTTGTCATATATATATATATATATATATATATATATATATATATATATATATATATATATATACACACTTGCATATAGGCGAACATTTTATTTCAGATACTATTATATATCTTACAAAAACACATTAGAGATATTATATATGGATCATATATATATATTATATATGGATCATATATATTATATATGGATCATATATATTATATATGGATCATATATATGCTATATTATATATGGATCATATATATTATATACAGTTCATACATATATATTATATACAGATCATATATATATTAAATTCAGATCATATATATATTATATACGGATCATATATATCTATATTATATATGGATTATATATATATTATATATGGACCATATATATATTATATATGGATCATATATATTATATACAGATCATATATATATATATATATATATATATTATATACAGATCATATATATTATATATGGATCATATATATATATTATATACAAATCATATATATATATATATATATAGGTTTGATTGATTGATAAATATGTTTGACTTAACCGTGATTTAGTGGTTCCATGATGAAAATTTCTGAAGTATGAATTCCAAGTGGTTATTGCAGATATTTAATGGTTATTCCAAATGTTTCATGGTTATTGCAGATATTTCATGGTTATTCCAAATATTTCATTGTTATTGCAGATATTTCATGGTTATTCCAAATGTTTCATGGTTATTGCACATATTTCATGGTTATTCCAAATATTTCATGGTTATTGCAGATATTAAGTGCTTGTGTCACACTTAGTTTGGGTTAAAGTGTTCTCGATTCTTGAAAGAAAATGATTCTATTTGAAGATGTTTTGAGAATGTTGTTCTAATTTCAATAAAATTTATGCTCTTCTCTTCATATTCAATTCACTTGAGACTTTTGGGAATCGTAACTTCGGCTCATCACAATTGTAAGAATCAATATTTATAATGACAATGTTCTTTTATATTTTATTTTAATCAATTTATTCCCCTGCCATTGAATGACAAAGCTAAACTGTTGAATAAAATTCTTGATTATAAAAGAAACTTATTCTCTATTGATCACACTGAAGTAATCGATTCTTAGATTGTTAGTTTTTTTACCTTTCCATCACAAATAATTGTAGTTTGAAATGAAATCTTTTTAAATAATACAATAGAATTTAAATGATGTCAATAATAGTTGAATGAGCATCAAACAAATTTAACCAAATTTTTCTCCTTTCTATCTCAAAAACACAATCTTTACTAAATACAAAGAAGAATCTGCAATGATATTGGTCCTCACCTGGCATCTCAGCTTCAGTCACTTTCCCACCGCCATAACATAGACTCCCTGCAACTATTCTATGAATATTTTCATGGTAAATGTTCTGATAAACTTTTCACTCCATAAAAAAAAACGTTATTTTTATTCCCAACCCCTGACAGACAAATTGCACATATGGGAACTTGTATATTATATAGAGACTTTGAGGTATTATGGTGTCTGTAGTAAGAATAGTAAGTAAGAATGTGTTGTTTTGGTGTAAGGAATACTGTGGTGTGTTTGGGTCAGTAATTGTGGCTAGAAGTTTAAAATGAGACAAATTGAAGACAAGCATTCCCCTATTTGCCTTCTGACCTTTGTATTTTCAAAATAAATATTACTTTCCTCTATTGAACCTAGACTTTATGATTTAAAGGGCAGTACTAGATTGGCAGCTAGGTCTCATACAGCTGAATTGGCTTTTGATGTAACCGTAAGTTCTGTACTAAAAGTTTCTTTTATTGCACTTCTTGCTTGTGAAACTCTCTTCTGGCTTCTTGCTTTCCTGTGGACTTTAAGCTTCAAAAATTTATATGCAATGTCAATTGTTATGTCTGTGTTTTGGTTCCTCTTCTTTTATTGTTCTCTCTTCTTAATATTTTTTTTTATATTCTTTCAAACTTCTTAACCCCTTGCATCTTAGTGACTTGGTGAGAAAGCACAATGGAATAATGGATACCTGCTTAGATTGCAGAATCAGAGAGCTAAGTTCAAATTCCCGTCGGTTCATTACAGTCACTTATGTACTAATACCCTTGGGAAAGGTATGAATATGTTATATTAAGTGTATAGTGGTAGAAAAAAGAAGAAAGAATGGAGGTTTAAGAAATAAACAATTGTATTAACATAAAAGTACAACAAATGGTAAATTAGTGTAAATGTCTCTCATTGAAAGAAAGAGATAAGTAGAATCATAAAAGTCATCCGCAGAGGTGTACGGTAGGAGAGGGAGGGTGAGTTGTGACTTACTGCAGCAATGGCTTTTGGTGAGCTGTCTTTGGAGATGGGAGGTTGTGTTCCAACAAGCATCTTAAATCCTGGCTGTTGCGCCATCAGACTGCCCAAGATGTCCCTTTGATAGGCTTTTATGTTCTTTTATTAGGCTCAGATTGGCTCCAATTTTTATTTTGTTTCTTTAGGCACGTGTGGGTGCTATTGGGTAGAAATTCTGGATCATATTTTTCTTTGAGTGTGTGAGTTAAAACAGAAGCTATGTACAGAGCCAATGCACAGTTGACGGAATTTTTATTTCAGTCTTGGATTTCAGAGCATTCACACCTGGCCATTGGTGGAAATTTGTGTAACATGTATCAGAAGATTTGGTTTAGGAAGATTTTAACAAATACATCTCATTTCCTCACCCACAGCTATGGGTAAAATAGCAGAACACATTATAGTCTTAGGTGAAAACTTGTGTAAGAGAAGGAAAACTCTGAAGTGAAACCGGCCCATGAAACCCTCTCCTGCATCTATAACTGCATATGGTGTCTCTTTGACCCTAACATGTTTCTGGGTGAGTGATCAGGATTGGGGTGAAACAATTTTAGAAATGATTTTTATTGCTTTCTTTCCCATAGATTCATTCTCTAAATTTTCATCAGATCATCCAAAATTGAAAACAGTTTCTAGTTTAACAATATACAGATGAAATGTTTTCTGTTCATTTGTAACATCAACAAAATTGTATCACATTTTGAAAAATACATGTTGTTTTTTCCTGCCAATTGTTAAAATGCATCTGAAATCAATTTTCTTTTATGGTGTATTTAGGGCTCATTTTTGTGTTGACAGATTTGTCAATATAGATGAATTAATTGATTTTACTGATATGTAGAAAAACATTTTCATCAGTTTAAATTCATTTTGAAATATACCCCAAAATTTTGCTTATTGGGAATATTAAATTGAATCTATTAGCTTGGACTCAATTAAAATTAAAGCTTCAACAAATATTTTTCATATTTTTAAATGCATTGTTGCAATGCAAGTGACTGCATATATTTTCCACCACTGTCTTTTCTACAAATATTTTCATGGCAACTGCACTGACAAACCTTTTCTCCCTGGAACCCCAACTGCATGCTACTAGATTTGAATGTAGGTCCCACCCTTTTACTGTTGAGTTAATTAAATGCAGCAATCACTTCTACTCCAACAGTTTCTTTTCTCGCACTTCCCGTCTGTGGAAGTCTCTTCTGTTTCCTTGCTTCTCTGATAACTACAATCTTCAAAAATTTAAATCCAATGTCAATCAACATTTTTTATCTTCTTGAACCCAATTCAGCTTTTATACTTTCCTCACTCCCACTAAATCCAGTCTTTTCTCTCACTTTCGTTCCCTGTAACCCCTGCGTACTAGTGGCATTTCCGTCTTGCTTGGAGGTGAAATGATTAAAAAAAAAGCATTCAACAACATTAATAGTATACTAATTTGTATGTAAAAGTTTTACTTCATGCATCTCTTTGCTTGTGGCCATATTACAATGAAACACCAGTTCTTGTATGATAACCAAAGTTAAGCAACATTGAGCCTGATCAGTACTTACATGGGTGACTGTTTGGGAATACCAGGTGCTGAAAGGTTGGATGTGTTAGTGGTGTAATAGATAACAACTCAGAATTGAACATTGGAGAGCCAAGTTCCAAATCCAGTTGGGTTTGTTATATTCACTTACATGAAAATAACTCTGGGAAATGGATGTATCCACTTCTTATTGATTGTTGTAAAAGATCCTTTCTTAAGTTAAAACCATTATTTGTTAACACTTACTTTTCTCTCTCTCTCTCTCTCTCTCCTCACTGTATCTCTCTCTGTCTTACTATCATGGTAATTTTATCACTCTCTCTATGTCTCTGTCTTTCTCTCTGTCACTTTTTGTTTCTGCACCTCACTCTTTCTATAACTGAGGCCCTATTGAGTGGGTTGCACATAACCCAGTCATTGGTATTGGGAATTATCTTCAATTTAGTCCCCCACAAGGCTAGTGGTCGAGATGGCATACCAGCCATTGTCTTGAAGAAATGCGTGCCTGAGCTAGCACCCGCCCTGTCTAAACTATATAATTACTGCCTCAAGGAATCCTGTTTTCCTGACTGCTGGAAGTCCTCATCCATTGTTCCTGTCTTTAAGAACTCTGGAGACCCCTCTGACCCCTCTAATTACCGTCCTATTAGTCTCCTACTCCTCTTCGGCAAAGTCTTCAAAGTCTTCAACACTGAAGCCCCTAATCAACTCTCAGACAAGCAATATGGTTTCCACTTTGCCATCTACTGATGTGCTTACCCATCACTGAAACCATCTACCAAGCCCTTCAAAATAATGGTGAAATGGACCTCTCCAAGACATCTCCAAAGCGTTTGATTTTAGCATGGGGCTCCAGGGTTTGGCTGGTCAATTGTTTGCCTCAAAATCATTCCTGTCAAACTGTGAATCTATTAATCACCATCCCACAAATCCTTCCCCTTGCCCCACATTAGAATATCCTGATGCCATAGATTCCCAAGTTGGCATCTCTTGACAGCAAAAACAAATCTCATGTGAGCTGACAAAACTTCTCGGTCTCATTGACTGCTGACCTGAGATGGAACAAATCACATTGAGTCTTCCCTGCCCCACATTAGAATATCTGATCCACCGTGAGGAAAGTTGGTCTCTCATGACTGCTGACCTGAGATGGAACAAATACATTAGTCACTTGCAAATTTTTCTCCCGGAATTTTCTCCCAGATACTTCAAATATACAAATCAACCATTCACCCTTGCATGGAGTATTGCTGCCATATATGGTCTGGAGCACCTTCTGTTTACCTCGGTGTTCTTGACAAGATCCAGAGATGGATATGTAATATAATTGGCCCTGATCTGGCATCTCGTCTACATTCACTCTCTTACAGATGCACCATCACCTCTCTCTGTCTTTTCTACAAATACTTTCATGGTAATTGCTCCGATGAGCTGCTTTCACTGGTTCCCAGACTCCAGGAATTCAAACACTCTATGAGGCTGGTATCTCGCTCTCACCCTTTCACTGTAGAAACTTTTAAATGTAGCCAAGAGTCTTCTACTCCAATAGCTTCATACCTCGCACCTCTCGCCTGTGGATCACACTTCTCTATTACTGTTTCCCTGAGAGCTATAATCTCCAACTATTCAAATGTAATGTCAATCAACATCTCCAGTTACCTTGATCTATCCACTATCCTTCTCCTCATCCTTTCTTCTATCACTCCTATCTGCTCTCATCCCAAATCTTCTGCAACCTCCTGCATCCTAGTGGCTTCATGCCTTGCTCGGGGTGTAATGCTTAAAAAAAAATCTCTCTTTTTGTCTTGCTGTTCCTCTTTTTGTCTCATTCTCTCTCGTTCTGTCTCTCAGTCTATCTGTTTTTTGTCTTTCACCCTGTCTCTCTATCTCTTTCCTTCTATCTCTTTGTACCTCTGTATCTCTCTCTTTCTCTGTTTCTGTTTCTCTGTCTGTCTGTTTCTATATCACACCCTCTCTTTCTCTGTTCGTCTCTATCTTTCTATTTGTATTTCATTCTCTCTTCCTGACTCTCTCTCTCTCTCTCTCTCTCTCATTCTCTCTCTCAGTCTCTGTGTCTTTGTCTCTGACTATCTATTTCTTTTTGTCTCTCTGTGCCTTTGCATCTCTCTCTCTCTCTCTTTGTTTTTCTGTCATTGTCTCTATTTATCTGTCCCTCTTTCTCTCTCTCTCTCTCTCTGTCTGTCTGTCTGTTGAATAAATGTATGTAAATGTGTAATTGAAATCGAACCTTCATATCTAATTGTCCATTTTTTAAAGCCATGTCCCTTCAGAACTAACGTAATCATGTCCCTCCACAGATTGTTTTTCATTATCTGTGAACTGACAGGCCTTTTCGGGAAATTGTGTGGAGTGGTTTCCCTCACAATTACCTTCTCCACATAATTGTCCATAGTTTATCAAAAAGAATCTTTCAAAATAAGTTTTCTGGCTCTATTTATAAGTTCTTGCCTAAAGTGACAGGGAAAAGTCAACATTCATTTGGTTGCCAAAAGATCTTGTTTTGTTTTTGTAGTATATACTAGACTCACCACAGATTATGCCAGAACAGACCTTGCACTCAGCATTCTTCAGAAAAACCAAGTGCAAGTTTGGACTTGAGAGATGACCTCTGATCTGAAGGTAGAGATTCATACCTTACAGGATATTAGTAGCTGACCCCAACTGATGAACATGGGGTTGAGCCAGCAGCATCTGATATAGGCACACATGAGAAAAAAACAGATGGCAGGTAGATATATAAACACCTACCTTAGAGGTACATATTCTTATATTGATATGAGAAAGTAACTGACAAAGTCAACAGTAAAAGAAGCAATAGCATAGGAGAGAGACTAAGTCTTGTGCTTTCATTTGCAATGTACAATGATATTACATTTTAATTAAGGTCATAAAAGTATTATTCTTAGTTTTCAAACATTACTAATACCATAAATTAAATATCACTTAAGTCAGGCTTCTATCATATTAGCTTACACAATCATGTATTTTATATTAATCTTTGAATGAGCCAAATATTATTTGTAAATAAAGCCTTTTAAACTTTCATTGTGTCTTTAGATTTATATTTAAATATATCATCATATATAATGACTGTGTGTAATCTATATAATACTAAAACTCTATTCTTGTATCTTTGCATGTCTGTAAGCTTAAATGATGTATAATTGTACTTTAAAACTCTGCTAGATGCCATGCCAAATTTCATTAAAATTAGACAAGGGGTTCTTGTACTAGTATTTGTTTTTGATACAAATTCTTATATCAATCCGCATATATAAAAAAAACTCTTGAATATTATATTCCAGCTATTATCTGTGTGGAAAATGATAAACATTCATAACAACATCTATCTATCTATCTATCTATCTATCTATCTCTATCTACTAAAACACTAATATTTTATACATGTATGTTTGTTCGCTAGATACAATACATAATATATTGTACCTCAAAACTCTGCCGAGTGCTGTGCCAAGTTTCATTAAAATTAGAGAAGGGTTTCTTGGGCTAGGGCCATTTTTTGTTTTTACAGTATTTTTAATAGGAAATTCAATATTTTGATACACATTCTGATAGTTGCATATATTTCTTTAACTGTTATACCAGAACATTCTATACACAAAATCATTTCCGATATGTTATTTTTATTGGGCACAGAGTAATAAGGAATAAAAAAATAATAATAAGATATCAAATCCCATTTAAAAATTACGATACAAAATCATTCAATTTTATTTGGAAAATATTAGCCATTGTGAAACAAACTGTCTGTGGATGACTATTTATGTTCTCAAAATAATAATCCGATTGAGCTCTCAGAAAGGAAGGAGTGATTTTATAAACAGTGGCTGCTGTTGCTGCTGCTAATGCAATGCTCTTCATGAAGAATCAAGCTCTCCTGGCCCCTGACGTCTTTCAGTTAGTAATGACGTTAAAATCTCCTTTACTCATTGGCATGCAATGATAGCTTTGGAGTAGAATGTCTGACTGATGCTAAAATTGGTCGAGTTTTGATCCTGGCTTGAAGTAATTGGATGTCTAGCCACACTGATACAGTGAAACAGTCTGTCTGTGGATGAATATATATATATATATATATATTGTATAATATTTTATAATATATAGTTTCAAGAACATTTAAAAAAAGTTTCAAATCAGAAAAATTAAAATCAAATTCCACTTAGCTTCATACCGTTTTTATTCCAATTTGCATTCATATATAAAAGCCTTATGAAGAGAAGTATCAGAAGATGTACAAGATGAAGCCAATAAAGGTTTAATGAGAAAATGACAAAGATTTATACAAGAAATGTGAAGCATGATATGAAAATGGAGGCCAAGAAGGCAAAGCTGAATGTAGATAAGCAATAATTCATTTGAAAATTGGAAAACTATGTAAAAAGATTAAATGGACAGAGATAATGAATACTTCATGAGTGGTCTCCCCTTGTTTTGTTACTCTCCTCTTTGAGAGAGCTGTTTCTGTTTACTAGGACTATAAAAGGACACCATACACAAACCTTGTATTCTCAGTTAAATAAAGCTTTCTTAAAGCCTAAACCTGTCTACTTTTGTCATTACAACATATTTTTTAAATTTTATTAGCTGTTAATATTCTTCTAATTAAACACAGCATTTTTAAGTTGTGGGGTTGCCATTGTAAAATATGTTTTCCTTATATTTCTTCACTTGTTTTGAGATTGAAACATTATCAAAAAAATAAAATAATTTAAACACCTAATTTCATCTCATATATTTTGTTCAGCTTATTACATATCAATCATTTTTATAGATAGGTAGGTAGGTAAATAGATAAAAAGTAAGAGCATGAGATAGATATGTACAGACTGAAATAGATAGTAAGATCGCTATATACATAGATAGATAGATAGATAGATAGATAGATAGATAGATAGATAGATCACTTTTCATTTTAATCTTGAGATGGAAATTCTAATTTTGTCTCACCTTGAATAATTTTAACATAACTTATCTATCCAAGTATTAATCAGACATGTCCACTATTCAACACTAAGTCAATTTATTTTCTTGTAAAGATGTCTTTCTTTTCTTATTAATACTTTTCTGACTTTCACTTACCATCAAAACAAAGACAAATATTTACACTTTATTCAGAAAGAGTCAACCTAAATTTTCTCATTGGTTACCAACAGTAAAAGAAAACATATTTTTTATCAATTGATATATAACTCAGATTTTATGCAAAAAGGATTTCAGGTAAAACTATAATTTTCCTGATTTGCCTTTGAAATTAATTTTGGTCATCATGTTTCTTTCTGCCATTTGGTAATTAAATTTGTTTTAAAATAAGTAGGATATATTTTTAATTTTACCATTTTGCTTTGAATTTTTTATTCGACTGTAAAATTTTCTTTAAATTTTTTATGAAATATATCTTGAAGCATTTTACATTTTGTGTGTTTGACTTCCATTTTGTTCTTAAGAACTAAGATATTTCGTACAGGCACAGTGAGCTTCCAGTTTTCACAGAGACAAAGAAACATTTTGTGAAAATTAAAGCATATCCATTCCATATAAACTTGGAAAGATTCCATTTCTAAGAGAAATGAAGAAAAATCTCTTGAGAATTAAGACATATCCATTTCATCCATACATTTTGAGAGATTTAAAACCTATCTGTTTACTGCCTGCATAGAAATCTTCCAATTTTAAAATGACAAAGAACCATTTTGTGACAAGACATATCCCTTTATAGATACACAGAAATTCCAATTCTCATAGAAACAAAGAAATGTTTCTGAAGAATTAACACATCCATTTCATACATGCTTAGAGGGATTCCAATTTTCACAGAGATAAAGAAACATTTCATATGAATTAAAACACATATTCATTTTTTATATGCATAGAGATATTACAATGACCAGAGAAAAAATATGAAACACCTTTCTTGAGAGCTAAGACATATCCATTTCATGCATACATAGAGTGAGAAGAGAACTCAAAGACCTGAAAAATGACATGCCAGCAACCAGGTGCACATTCACACCTCACTATATATCAGTAACTTTCCCTGATATATGAACAGATAATCAACATAATAGAACTGAGGATCTGCTCACATGAGACAAACCAGATAATAGGCTAGTTATATAAGCACCAATCCAAGAGGAAAGAATGAGAAAATCTCTTACCTCCTCACAAGCATATAGAATACAAGTTTGGAGAAAACCCCAAATCACAAACTTACTGATGAATACTAACTGATGGTGTCCAGAGTTGAATCAATAATAATAATATTACATATGAGAGATTTTCTTATCAGTACCTGCAATAACATTACATAGGTATATATACATATTCACTTTCAGTGAGGGTGCTTTGATATATTAAATGTGTTAATCCTCACTGAATCAATTTCACCTACAATAATGTAATCCCCCTGCTAGTCTGAATATTAACACCTGAACAAATGAAACATCTTTAATATGGCTGCCAGTATTTTGGAGAAGCCACCACCTGGTGGCACTAAACAACAACCAAAAGACAAGGGAAATAACTACAACATTAATATTTCTCCTATTTCTTCAGAGGCATGCAAAATACAGAACAACAAAGAAATTTTATAAGACCTAAGTCAAATATTCTTTGGGATCCATAATATGTCCAAGAATCTTGGATGAGAGAAAACCTCACCTGGTAAATGAGTTATCTACTTTATTTGTATCCATCATTTATGAGAAGATGATCAAATTACAGGTAGCATTATCTTGTTACCTATAGAGAGGTAAAGAATAATGGCCTGAAATGGTGAGTTGCAGTTTAATTATTCTCTTTCCAACAGTCAGATTGTCATTTTGAAAATTCAAAATCATGTTTGCTTTGTTTTCATTGAATTGTTTGCTTAAAAGTAAAGGTATTTCAAATTCAACAACATCAGTAATTATTTCTGACCTCATATTTCCAATCAAACAGGGAATAATCAATTTCTTTGCAGATTCTACTGTCACACCATCACTAAAAGAAAATGTAGAAGCAGATGCTTATTCCACAATTAAAGACTGCTCATAATCACTTAATGAATTTAAATATTCATGAAGCCAGCCTTTACAAAAGACAGTGGTTGAACATCCTGTGTCCAAAATAGCTTCACATCGTTCACCAGGGACTGAAACCTTGTACTATTCATACAACCCACAAACAAGGACAACAGAACATTTTCTGATGTATTCTTTTGCAGATATTCATCACTGTTCTGATATGCATGAGGACATTCATATGCCCAATTAAATTTAGAGTTACATATGACACATCTTGAAATCTGCTCACCATGACCCACAGGATGTGACTGTATAGGAAGTTGCTTGGTTGAAGTGCAACCACCCTAGGTGGCATGAGTATATGGTTGACCCCCATCTATGTCTGAATCTATCTGTAAAAATGGTGTCCTGACTTTCCATTCTTATCTCAGGTTGAGGAGTACATTCATCAATATTTGAAGGAGTAACTGAATGGCCAAAAATATGTTTAATAATCTCCTTAATATTTTTGAAAGACACTTCCTTACATGCCAACATTATTAAGTGCGCATCTTTCTCAGGAAGGTTTACAGATAAAAGGAGGATAAATGTCATTACTTGGTCTGGAAGAGCCAAGTTTTCCTGTGTAAACTTAAAGTAAGCGTTGTCAAAGTGACTCAGAAAATCCTTTATTTCTATTTCTGCTGCTCTAAGCAAATTATAGTGGCAACAAATTGCTACCTCTCTTTATCTGGCAGGAATAATTCATCCATTTTTTGGATGATAGTGTCCACACCTGTCTCTGATTCCAAATCTTCACTGTCTATCTCAGAAGAGGCAGCTCTGGTCTGTCCACTTAAACATAGGTAAATGGCCAAAACCTGTTTTGGTTTTGGAAGGTCTGTCAACCTACTTCAAATATGTAGGCTTTTCTTCCATTGTTTATAGATAGAGTCATTCTCTAGCCTTGAAGGCCATTTGGAAGAACATGTATTAAAATTATCCATTCTTACATCAATTATAAGTCTTAGAGTCACAAAACTTTAAAAGTAACAGAAAAATAGAAAAGGAAATTCGTTTAATTTTTGTTGTAGATCAACTACCAGTTCTGCTACCATTTGTTAATCCTCAATGAATCAGTTGCATCTGCAGTAAGATAATCTTCCTTTTAGTCTGAATATTGACAACTGAACAAATGAAACATTCTCAATATGACTGCCAGCATTTTATAGGAGCCACCACCTGGTGGCACTAAACAGTGTTGCAGACCCGGTAGCGTGCAGTGCTGGTTTAATAGAAAGGTGGCCTTGTGCCAGACACTACACAATACTACCGAGTCCACAAACAAAGTATAAAAATTGCGTGAGTGAACATAGAGAGGAAAAGTGGTCATT